GCCCGCCTCTCCAAAATTGAAAAGACACCACTCTGTGGCCTTTTAGTCTTTTCTGGTTTTGCGAGTCGTTCGTACTTGCTTTCGTGAAGACGAAATAATATTATCGTTTCGGTCGAATGTACTCCGTTGCCGAATCTCATCGCGTATTTATGGCCAACCAATTCTAGGTTTAATTAAGTACAACAAAAGCCTAAGTACAACAACTTTTCGAAAGTGTACACGATTTACAATCGCTTATTGTACTTACAGTACACACCGATTCGCCCAGAAGTGCGCTAGTGCGGATACCGGCCCAGTGTCTTTGTGCCTGATGGCACCTTCATGACAGAGTTTAATGAAACGTCCATCATCCATCAGCCTTCAACATTACCAATAATTACTGCCTACTGCCAAGACACTAGCCCGAGTCTCCACATAAAGGTTAGGTCATTCGTAAATTATTTAATACCTATGTTTGTTGATACCCTATTATAATATATAGTATTATAGTACATTGTTATCAATCGTTTTTGTTCTTCTAATATATATGTATATAAATATACTATCAACATTCACTTCATAATAATCACAGTTTTGTTGTTTTATTATTAATTGTATTATTTATTATTTTTACCGCCGAAATTCTGTGCACCAATATTTATTATTATTTATATATTTACTATCAGCGGTGTATATTCCATCAGTTTCCATCAGTTTCCACACACTTTTCACTTTTCACTTTTTACCTAACCTTGTGATATGTTCCTTAAGTTTCTACACTTTTTTCACTTTTTTCCGTTCTCATATTATATGCGGTCCACTCTCATATCACGGCTAGTGCCCATACATTGCTGGAGCAGAAACCGTACGCTTACGTGAGCGGACAATACCAGCTGATGACACTCAGTACACCGTCGATCCATCATGGCTATTCAAACCATGTTGCCCCACAGGCAATATTACGAGTATTTAGGGCCCCACGATACATTTTTAAATTATACAGTTTTCGAAAAATATTTTAAAACGCTCATGATTTGACTCAAAGGTAAAATATCTAAAAAAAACCCATAAAAGACCTGAAAATATTCTTACATTATATAGTTGCATAGTAAATTGTAATTTGAAGTAAAATGGATTATTATTGACTTAAAATTGTCTACATGTTAAGCGTCTGTAAGATGGATACAAAATAAGCAAATTTTTGTATTTACAATTTTATTTAGTTAGAATTTATATGGAGTGATTTTCTTATTATTAAAGGTAAGAACATTATCTGGGTTTTCTCTTTGATTTTTTTCGAGGTTAATATTTTTATGGAAGAAATGAATACCTATTAAAAGAAAACTCAACTATGAAAAGTCACTTAAAAATTAAGATACAGTAAAACCCGGCAAGAGAGTGAAAAAATAGACGGACAATGTATTTTACCTTTAAGTTTGATAATAGGTCAATTCATTTTATCATTAAGCTAGCAACACTAAACTGGAATAGATGATCTCAAATATACTATGACGGATACATCACATGTAGGTTGAGTCCTCTAAATACACAGGCGGCTATTTATAAAAATAAATTTATATTTTTTAATAATAAGTTGAAATATATAGTAATATTAATGAGAAAAGACTGAGTTCAAAATTAAAACATTTCAAAATATGAACACTGCAATATATTATAACAGTTATCACAGCTTTCAGATTATATAAAAATCTCCCTGTTCAAATAAAAATTAGTCAACAATTTATAATTTTTAGTTGTTAGTAAAGAGTTGGTTATTGATTAGTGAAATAATTGTATTAATATTATTAATATTATACATCATATCATAGATATTTTTATTTATTCTCAATCCTCTTCTTATTATTACTATTAGTTATAAATTTATAATATTGTAGTATTCGTTTTTTTTTTTTACAGACTTATCTATTGGAGCAAAGCTTCTACTCTTTGTGATATACGATTCTATGCAATATTAATATATTTAACTTATTCTTGCAAAAATAAAAACTGCAAATAAATAATTTATTATTATTATTATTATTAAATCATCGGTTTTCACTCCATTCCCCAAAAATGTCTCTAGGAAAGCATCTGGGAGGAACTTAAAATCCCATTATTAATCTCGTGTATGAGGGGAAAAGCTTATACAACGCTAAGAGATTTATGTCATCCGGTGATACCATCAGAAAGGCCAAACAATGAACAGTGTGATGTTTCGAACAGGCAGATCTCTTAAATGTTTTTGTTTTTATTTATATAACGAGAAGAATTCATAATGGATATATATGAAAAATCGAATTTGAAAATTTTAGTTGGTGTTTTTGAGACAAGTTCATCGCATTAAAAATGTACCAATTAAATACCGTTTATGTGCAACGAATATTTCCAAGAAACTAACTCTCATTGTAGAGTTAGCAGTACAGAAAGAAGTATCATCTAACCAGGTGTTTCACTGGAGGTATACAAATTATACAAATGGAACAGTTCAAAGGAGTACAAAATTAAATGCGACACATCAAATATAGGAAACATATATAGAAGCCAAAAAGAACCAGTCATGACTATGTAGCAACAAACAAGAAACTGAAAGCTTTTTAAAACATTAATAAGGGACCAAGTAAGAGAAATGATACTAACATGGCTTAATAAACCATATATTTAGTTACTGTAGGTAAAATACATTAAGTGTAAAGTCTGTAATAAAATAGGTCATTCAGCAAAAATGTGTAGGTACAAATAAATTTAAAATCATTATGTTGAGGTAGATCCTAAACCAGTATACATGTTGCATTACATGTGGTTACATCCATATATAATAGAACTTTAAAGTTCTAGTAACTTTAAAAATAAAAGACGGGATTATAACGATATTTTGCAAACCAAAGCTTATTCATTTTGTGTATAGGTATACAAATTGGTTTTTAAAAAGTTAATTGGAACGTTTGGAAAGAGGAACGTAATACGATTGACAACGTAGGGTCTTGTCAGGCACCACACCTACGACAAAACCAAATGAAATAGTAAGATTATTTGTTGATTAAAAAATAATTATATTTATTACATATAAACAGGTTCACATAACCTTAAGTTGAAGAATTGTTAGTTTGAATTATAAGTTAAGAAACTTTAAAGTTAATTCTATTTTTGAAATGCCCATAACTAACATGAATTATTTGAGTATACACAATCAATATTAGTGTGTAGTATATAAAGGTAGAGGTTACATAATATATTATAATATATATAGTAAAGCAATTACCTTTTGGAACTAAGCCGGCTGGCTGAAATTTTCAGGCAGGTGTTGAAAAAGTACATCAAGGATTAAAATGAGTGAAAAACGTTTGATTGGTGTTTTTTTTTAATTAAAAATTGTAATACACTATGGCGTATGTGTTTTGATTGCATTTAAGTATTTAACGCGTATTCTTAACGGTGCTATCTGGTAACAATTTGGATTAACTTTAACAAAATAATAATTATTATAAACTAATAACTATATAGTACATAATTTGTATTTAATTTTAATATTTTCCCGTATAGATAATTTCTACAAATAGTACGTCGGGTAAAGCCCTTCTCCATACACACGGTCAAATATACTTAATTTTGGTATCAACATTTTGCCATTTTAATTTAAATCGTTAAAACGAAATACTTGTGGGGGTCTCAAGTTCACAACTTGAATTGATTTTTTTTCAACTAATCAAAACGTAATTTACCAAATGTTTGTAATATGCGTGAACGTAACATTACAATGATTTTTTAATGTGTGTGAAAACAGTGCTTATATTAAATTTCAGCTAATAAGGAGTGTAAACGGTCAAATATTTTATGAAATATATGGCCCCAAACAAAAATGATGGTTCTATTTTTTTATTGTTCCATACATTTTTAATTTAAAAAAATGACCATTGGTACACGCGATTTTCACTAAATGTTTGTGTTAGCATTTTCTATACACCAAATAATTTTGACTCATGTTGATCTACTTATAGGTACATTAAATTTTCAATTATTATAATTTTTTTTGTTATTGAAGTCTATAAAAATATGTCAGCTTGGTCAAAAAACTTGAAAATATAAATCAAGGCTCCTCATAAGTTGTTGTTAGGTACTAAAAATTAAAAAAAAAAGTCGAGCGTAAGGTCCACAATTATTTTGACACAGAACTTAAAAATAACGAAAAGTTGCAATCATTTTAAGATAGAAATTCATAACATTTTTTTTACAATATCAGTTGAAAAATATTAAAAATACACAGGCACATTTTTGTTTATTAATCATTTAAAGTTCAAATGTTGACAACCTTTCTTAAATTTAAAATTAAAAAATGATTTTTTAGTTGAAAACGTATTAAATGTTCAACTTTTATAGTTAAGGACTGAAAATTTAAAACAAGGTTCTACGTGAGTATTTAATTTTGTAACCAAAAAATCTAAAAACAAACAAAAAGCAATTTTTATAGTTAGTTTAAGTTGAAATTTAGACGAAATTACATATTAACACAAAGAATAACGATTTTAGTAATTTTGTTGTAACTCGGTTCCAAAACAGCCCAATTTTACATAAGTGTACAATGTACATAATATTTTTCCAGCATCACTGATAATTATAGAATAATATTAATTCAACATATCGGCTACCGTATTAATAATAATTAATAACAATATAAAATATCCTAGACTGATATACCGTGTCCGCTCATGATCGTTTTTCGTATACAATGATTTATCATTGAATTAAAATTTAATACTATCCAATACACCGACCTTCTAGACCTTCTAGACATCCACTTACCTACTTTTTTTAAAATCAAAAATAAATTTCATTTATAATATTTATTTCATGACTTAAAATGTATTTGAATAAAAAATTGTGTGGATAATGATTTGTTCAAAAGAAATCGCACCACATCTTGCTATGATTTGACTATAGAGACGATCGATGTCATGAGGTGTTGAAAATAATTGATTTTAATAGTTTGTAATGATGATAAAAATATTTAATTTTTGTGCTTATAGTTTTGAAACAGGAAGATGAAGTTCTGGGTGAGAAGGTTGGCAAGAAAAACTCAAATCAAACCTAGATTCTTAAATTCACAGATTAAATCAATGTTAATTGTTTTACTTATTTGGCTGCCAGGCGGTGTTGTGCAAGAAAATTTCGTGCTTGAAGGTCGTACAACAAATGCACAATACTAAAAACAAATAATGGACCGCCTTATCTAGGGTGGATTAGACATGATTGTCCCTCTTCCATATTTCAGTCACGCGATTTTTTTTCTACTGCACGCTAATGCTTCATCTGATGCCGGTCTAGTTATGATTACTTTTTGGCACAGAATGACGTCACTACCCTTCATCATCCATTAATCGCTATATGTCTATATCTATTGGTTCAAATCTATTTATGTTTCTTAAATTAAAATTGTAATTGAAAGAATAAAATCAGTTTCCAACGCTTGGAACATTTCGTTGATTTAAGGAACTGTGATAGAAGAACAAAAATCAGTTATTAAATCACAGGTACCTATGTAGTTATCATTTCTTACAAAATGTAAATAATTGTATTAAAATGTTCATTAAAATAAAAAATTGTATTTTAGATATTTAAATATTTTTATTTAAAATTACAATTTAATATATTGCATCTTAACCATAATATTACTGAAACTAAATTATATCGCGTTAATGAACAAAATTATTGTTTGATTAGAAAACTAAAATGTTTTTCAAATAAAAGTCAAAGGAATTTGATTATTGTATTGATTTGTATAAATATATTTTCATAATTGTAATGATTAAATTGCAACTAATTTAGTTAACAGGAGTTATATTATAGTCAATTGGAATCCTTTTTAAATGATTATTATTGAAATATGATCAAACGTTGGTTAATATAAAGTTAAAATATATTATAAGCTATACTTGGTTAAAAATTGAAATGATAATAAAATTAAGTCTACTGTTATTTATATGCTTCTTATATTACTGTACCCAGTGAAACAAAATGTTTTGTGCATGAGTATATGTTACTAAAAGAGAAATAAGAGAATGTTTTTCAAAAATTATGATTTACAATACGACATGCAGTCTGTGAACAGTGATGACTATAGTCACACGCCTTGTACAGTGAAAATATTGCGAAGGTTAGATATAACAGTTTAATTCGTATAGATCGAATTTCAAGAAAAACAAAAGACGAAATTTTTTTAACGCTTACTGGCTCATTATTTTGATGGTTAAAACTGATGATGATCAAATAAAAAAAAAGTGTCTGTTAACGTATGAACATTTTTGTTTAGCTTTAAGGCTGATTAAAAATCATACAAGAAATTCACTAGGTATGTAAACTTCATTAGTCCTGGACAATAATGTCCATAATGTCTAGTACACTAAGGAATTCTGGTTGACTATAATATACGTAAGCACTTCGTATCTGTGAATAATATTCAGTTTTGATTATGTTTAATGATTAATATATCAACTAGAACATATAATTTAAACTGTATTGCTATATCTCTCGGAGTACGGTTGAAATCAAAATGCAAAGGTCCCTGAAAACGCTCACCGAATTACCTATATACCCATAATAGGTTCCTGAACTCCGTTACAATAAAATACACTGAATGTACAATCACATTAAATCTTTAGTTTATATAACTTTCCAACACTTTGCAATATGCAGGTTTTTATATATTAATTAAACTAATACTTTTTAAACAAAATTCTAGCTTACAAGTTTGTAAGTCAATATTCAAAGCAGTGGTAGAAGATATTACAACATAACTGTCAACTTATACCTGTCTACGATTGTGAAGGAGTTACGATCTATCTCTTCAGTGTCTATTCGATACCCGATTACTCGAAACCGATACTTAGTACCTATTTTAGGTAATACGAGTAATAATGATTTTTTATTTGTCAATTTTATTAATTTAATAAATATGACAATAATTCATATAAAGTTGTATTAACTGACCCTATTAATAGGGATTTTAGATCCATTGAAATCAACGATAAAGGTAAATACAGTCATAAATATATATAACATAGGTAATTAATTAATTTAAAAGTAAAATGTTTAAACGTTTTTAATGTTATATAACTTCGGCGATAAATTACTTATGTAATGACTTCCTAAAAACAATTTTGATCCATATTACGTGATTTTATATTAATTACTAAATGTTAGCAAAAATCTTAATTTTATACTCATTGAAATATTATAACATTTTTAATCACCTTAAAGTGTAGGTATTCAAAATAAATGTACAAATGTATTTACCCGTAAAAGAATGATTAAACTGTGTTTTTTGAATATTAAATTCTATTCAGCTTCGTTACCTACTAAAGTATTTTTATCATGCAAAAAAAAACATTATAAATAATAATCCTCAATCTACCTTTTATATTTTACAAATCATTAATGCAGCAATGTCAATACACACTTTTTGGGTAAATTATGTATTAATACAAAAGTGTATAATTTAATTTAATAGAATTAAAAACCTCGGCAGAATTAAAAAGATAAAAGACATTCGTAATTTTCTCGTGTGTTAATAATGAGGTATACAGCTTAATAAATCTCTTTGATGTTTACAACATGATTAATGGAGATATTTGTTTCTAATATTTGTATTATGGGTACCTATATCTTTAATTAAATCTATTTTATAGGGCTTAGATGTGTACCTGTGTTATGTTCTTAACATGAAATCGAAATAAGAAAATAATATTATTTGAGATATTATTCAACTGTCGCTTTTTTTTAATATTCCAATACCTACCTAGTATAATATATTGGTGAATAAATTGAAGCAACTACAAATCATTGTTATACTTAAACTTTGAATATCTATTTAAAAAAATAACAATATTCATTTTGTTTTGGTAGTTTGTAATTTCTTATAATAATACAAACCAAATAGAGTTAATATTAATGTATACATTTGATATTATATTTAGGTACATTGGAGTGGTAAGTCGATGTTCTTAAAAGTTAAGATTATTTATTAAGATTTGAAGTTTAATATTATGAACGAGTGTGGTATACCTTAACATAAATACCCTTTTTATGAGATTTGGAGGTTCTTAGAAGTGATTAATCCTAGAATATATTGTGAGTAGTATGAAATTAATATTTCAGATGTCAACATACTTTCAGTTTTATATGTAATCATAATTCAACTCGATCTGTACTATTTAATCGAATATGGTAAAATGATATGTTAAATCGACAGTTCAATTGTTTACCATTCAATAATTAGCTTATAGTGAAAAAACTACATAGGTAGTGCTTACTGCTTATTACAACAACAAAAATAGTTAAACAAGTAACGGCTATGACATTTTTGAGGATGAAAATATAAATTAAATTAAGTATCTTTTTATTTATTTAATTTAAAAATAGAGAACAAGTAAAGTTTAAAAAAAAAATCAATCTTAAGCAAAAAGTAGAGTAGAATTTAGATGATATTATTTAAATATTCTATATTAATATCACTATTAAAATTATAATTTGAAATAACCTATATAATGACTCTAGATTTTTATGTCATTAAGATTTACAAATATATGTTATTATCTAATAGTTATTTGAAAACTTAAATTATTGACTCTGGTTACAGATTCTAGCTTGTTCAGAATAATAATAACCATATTTATAAATCTGGAAAAAATGTACAAGATAAGAAAGATTTTTTAAATTTTAAAATAGTTTATTACACTTAGCCATTTATAATTTTCTACATATTATGATTTATAATAAATTATAATGGACAGAATATAATTCATAATTCTCACACACACACATTATTCAACGCAGTTCGAAATTTTAATTTCATTTTAAATAACTCAATTAATGTTGATAGAAAATTACCTATTTAAATAGTGAATAAATGCACTAAAATAAATAAGTTATTTAATAAATACTATAGTTGATAGTTGATATAAATTTAATTGAAGAATTGTTAGAATACATTACTTATCACCTAAGTAAAGTAGGTGCTTAAAAAAAAAAATTATAATAATATATCTCAGCTTGTAATAAAATTACACTGCATGCTACTTATGTATGTCGATGCACAGTAGGTACCTATGACTCTATTTTAGAATAATGTAATTCTATGAACATTTTTAACTGTAGTTTAATCTTTGAATAATTGCCAAAGTTGTATACAACAAAAAAGTTTTTTTTATAAAAAGAACTATAACTAGGTCAGTAGAGAAAAAATGAGATTTATCTTGAAAAACTTATTGTGAAATAATCATCGTAGGTACTTTTAATTTTTGTAGTTTTAAATCATAAAAGAGGATATCAGTCTTTATATAGTCTTATATCTATTGCCACTATCAACTTAGTACAAACTAGATGGAAACAACTAATGTTTAAGTTTTTTTTCTGTACAATAAAAGGAAACAAAAAACAGTATTATATACAATTATTAAATGCGTACATTTTTCTATTTTTGTACACAGCTAAAATACAAATGTACTATCAATCGAATCAATAATATTGTAATGGTATACTCGACTGGAGAATTTCAAAGATACATCAATAATTATATAATGAATGGTTGAAAAACACTTAATTTTAATAGAATAAGTTATAATCAATAAAACAAAAAATGAACATTTCGACAACTCTTTGAAAATCATACAATTTAAAAATAAATCTTGTAAGCTAACCTAAAAAAATTAATAAACTAATGCAACTTTTAAATTTTTAAATACGATTCTAACATTAATTGAAATTAAATTTTTTTTCACAGATAAATAATTATGCAGAATATAAAATCAAAGGTTTACTTCCTTTTATGGGGAACTGTTTTTAACTACATGGATTAAATAAATATATACCTATTCCACATTTTGTAAAAATAATAAATAGTATTTAAAATTATAAGTCAAAAGGACATAACATTTTTTTTAAATGTTGGATTTACAGACAAGGTTAATTTGTGGCAGAGCACTGACACTTCACACCTAAAAGAAAAAATTATATTTTCATCTTCATTTGCTCAAGAGCATTAAGTTCAAAAATGTCCTTATCTGATTAAGTTTAGTTTACATAATTCACTTTTTTTGCCAATATTTTGTTCTACTCACTAAAGGAATCTTTATGCGGAGCTTCATTAAGCACCCCAACAAAATAACTTTATTCGGTTATCAGTAATAAGTATCCGTCCATATGCTTCATAGTTTGTATCACTGAGTTTCGGAGACATACATTTATTAAAACCTTAATATAGAAAAAACGCTGAAAAAACTGTTGCAATTAACTACCTAAGATTTCAACACTCAGATATCTTAATACTCACACGCTTTCATCACAAAATTGTTCTGGTCTATCGAAAAAGACACCTAAATAGATATATTTAAGAGACTTACTTATGTAAACTAAGTTGATTCAATTAAGGCATTTTATGGGTGAGTCTTTATCAGCAAGTCTCTTTTAGATTCAGACCGGAGAGATGAATGTATTGGTACTACAATATATACAGCTGTATTAAAAATACTTCAATATTCAGAATAACTAAAAAACACCAACAGTTTTGACGAAATAGATTTTATATTTTCATAGTAATTAAAAATGAATAATTCTA